CATCCTGCCTATTTAGACCTCTCAGCACAGAACTTTGTTGGGAAATAGGCTGCTTGTAGCTGAGGTACGGATTTATGACAGGGGTGTTACTGGGCTTCGAAGGGCCTTAATGCAAACACCAGGGGATATTTGGATCAAAAGAGTCACACGCAAAGACTGTGCTGTGACAGAGGCAGAAATAAGACCTATGCCGAGATAGAGGGTGAGCACGGAGTCAGGCAGGAGCTGAGACGATTCTCCCTCGGTGTTTCCAGGAGCAGTCATCTGGCAGAATTTGATTACACACTTCTAGCCTCTAAACCTTTAAGAATAAAGCCTTGTTGTTCAAACTACCCAGTCGGTGGTTACGTTTGTCACCCAGTTTTCAGGAACTAACACATTGCCTATACCAGTTAAAAAACAACATGCCCAGTAACCGCTCTACAATTGGCTGTGCAGCTAATCCAAGATAGTTTGACTTGATCCTATGTGACTATAGGGCTTTGGAAACACTGTAACATACTCTGGAGACTGCTGCTTTGGTTACCGTGCCTTCTCCTAACTTGGGGGTGACTTCAGTGTAAAGTCAGATGATGGGACCAGGTTCCTGTCCTACTTCCTGCCTTGCAGGTTTCCAGTGGAGAATTGGACTTGCCTGTGTTTGATGTGGGCAGAAATGTGAGTGTTCTGCAAACTCAAATGAAGAGTGCACAGATGCACAATACCTATGAAGAAGGGAAGGCAGAGAGCAGTATTTCCCACGTGACTGAAGCGTTTACCATTTGATGACCATTTGATGCACTCAGTTTCAACTCAGGGGTCACACGCTTAGAAACTGACCCGTGTGGCCACTGGAGGTGGTTAGTGAAGCACACATGAAAGGTTAACTAAATTGACATTTTACTCCAGTCGAATACGTCATTTCTTTTCAGATTCATACTTATTTGAGTTTTGCTTCTGTGTGGAACAAGGATGTGGTTTCCCATCCCCTGAAAATTTATTTATAATCGACATGACAAGGTAACTTTCTCCAATGTGTCACACAAATACATGACATAAGAAAATGCAGATATACAAACAGATAAGCCCTCAGGTGATTGTTAATTTTTGGTGCTGTGTGATTAAACTAGTTTTTTTTAATGTTATATTTTGCCAGTATCTAATTAGCAGAGCCATCTGCTGAAAGAGCAGTGTCCCATCTGCCTAGAATGTTGTTCCCTTCATTTTTATGAAAAGTATCTGCCATCACTAGTCCCTATCTAATTAACTTCTCTTGCTGCACAATGTGATAATACAGTTTTGTTTATGTACTTCTGAGAACCGTGGATGTGGATGTGTGTACCATGTACATAAAGAGACCCCGGCTCTCTTTCTTTCCAGCATCTGAATTACTCCCAAGATCATAGCCCCATTTATCCTAACTAGAATATGTCCATGGGCAGGACAGTGGGGTGTGGCTTGTCTAATGACACACACATCAGGTGCTTCCTCACGGCTCTGGGACTTCTGTACATACAACAGGGCTTTTCTGTGAGCCTTCCCCGCCTCTCACTGTGTGTTGATGATTAAAGATCTGTCATTTCCTGAAAGCTGAGGATGCTCTCCGTCCACATTGAAGGAGTGTTTAGCTATTGTGACAAGAAAAATGAACATCATTTTCTTCTTAGAGTTCACAGGAAGCCAGCTAGGCTCATTTGAGACTCTCATACATTTTATTGCAGATTGATATCTGATTTGTACACTTGTTGACCATGTCTGTTTTTCCTTCTATCAATCATTATTTAGCAGACTATCTTGTACTTGGTAGATTCTTAGTGGTTATTTAAGTGAAAGAGAAAAGGGGTACATGGGAGTAAATCAAATCTTTTAAGCTGTTCAGTAAAACAGATGGTTTTGGTATTAACAACAACAAAAACGGGAGAGACACAATCAGTAATCTTTGTGTCATTTTAACTACAGTTTCTTCCATATAGTCTTTGAAACCCAGGTAAACACATTATTACTGTCCTGTGTCTGCTGCTGAAATGTATAATGAACATTAAATGTTGGATCAAATAGAGGATAAATAGTTATTTTCTCACCTGGACTATTATGCAGCAGAAAAAATAGAAAAGATTTCTTTGCAAAAGAAGGTGCAGGACTTAAGCCCGTGAGAGTGAAGTCGAAATCCAAAACATAGAAAACCTTGGTAGTGGTATCTACTGCTGCAGAGATGAGGGGTAGGTGGTAGGAAATGGTCCAAGTGAATTGGAAGACAAGCCCCAAATGGCTTCTGAAATCAATAACTAGAGTTTGTTCCTTTCCTATAGGAAAGGAAAACTGTCTTCAGTGACAACAGAACAGGATAGTTCAATTAAAAGGTATTTAATTGATTAGCATGGATCTAATGGAATAAAGAAAGTTGTGACCAGATTTACAAAAACAGCTGAATTCACACAGAGTGGATGGCAGGATCTAAGAACGTTCAGCTGATGTCCATATTTGTCTCCTGTGGAAGCCCTTTTTCCCCATAGCTGCCAAATAACCCAGTGGGCAGAGGCTAGTTCACAGGGTAAAAAGTAAAAGCACTATGGAGCCCCCAGTTCTAGTGGAATTGGGAAGGATCACTTTCTGTCACTCAGACCCAGTTACCGTTTAGTGATGTGCTGTGTGTTCGCCCTGCTATCTTCTGCAGTCAGCAACATTGCATCCTTACTGTAACATTTTTCTTTATCCTATCTTCTATTCCAATAGAAAGTGAATCCACAGAAAAACTGTAGAATCATGGTCTTTAATTAAATCTGGATTTGAATATGATTGGCATGCTGGTGATTCTATAATAAAAATGCCTCAGAAAAGTAACTTTTCACTTTCAGTAATTTTCTTTGAAAAAAACTGTATTCTTCCTATTTTCTGTTTGTCTAATAAACCTGGATGAGCAGTAAACTAGTAAAACAATAGGATATTTGTACGAACTCTTACATTTTTCCATTTCTTTTCCTTTCTGGTCTTTTGCCAGCATTTACTTTGAGAATGCAAAGGCTATGCACATTAGATAGACTTGTGGAACTATTTGCTTGCCTTGTCAGCAGCAGAACCTAAACAATTTTGATTGCATGTGATAAATATTCTTCTCCCTAATTCTGGGACTAACCTTGCCCCTCCTAGCTCTTGTGTTTAAAGAAGAGATTCTTAATATTTAACTTTTAACAGAAGCCCCAGACCCAAGGAGAAGCACTGCAGATACCTCTTTAGCTAAATACCGCTTTAACTAAAGTATTTCACTGTATCATTTTCCTAGCAATTATAGCATAGTAATTCCTCCCTGTGATCTGTAACACCAAACCCTCTGGAGTATCCAATTCAAGTTACAGTGAGATCTACTCTTCTAAGAGACTATATCATAGAATATATCAATCCTTCTTCAAGTAAAGGCAAAGTGATGGATATCTCTAAACGAAACAACAGAGTGAGTTTTTTAAAAAAATTTTTAAAAGGAGTGTACTGTGGTCAAATCACATCCTCACAATGCTTCTATTTTCATTTATTTACTTGTATTTCATGGGGTTCCAGAGATACTGCTGTATATGAAGCTTGTACCCCCTTTCGAGTATTTTCACTTTTCATGAAAATATTTACCATCCTGGGTGGAATTCAGATACTGATTATCTGTTACTTGTTGGCCATCGAGAGTTATGCCCAAGAAAAAAAGCACAGAAAGAATTAGCAAAACATGGAAAGAATTAACAAATTCTCTCATCAGATAAAAAGCTTCCAGTCTGCCCAAGGGAGAACAGTTACAATATTGTTTAAAAGACATGAAATTGTTTTTTCTGGAATACTTTTCTTAAGAACCAATGTTTGCCAAGTAAGATAAGTTATGCAGTGTGTTATGCCTTAATCTGTTATGTAACATTCTTTAGAGGCTAAAAGATTTTAGATATGTTTTTAGCCTATCTTTTTAATTCCTCCAAATTTAGATTGAATTAGGAAAAGAGATCATACTAGCAACAAGGTTAAAACCAATATTTCCTTCATACTATTTGACAGTAATCTATTTATGATTTAGTTTAGTTGACGTTATTCTAAATTAATAAAAAAAATCATCTCTAGCTTAAACATTTTCCTGTTGTGACTTAACTGATACACATCTCAGATTCTTCAGAAATCAATTCTAACAGTAAGATGAAAAATAATTGTCAATGGTGTGGGAGGACATGGAGAAAGATTTTACCCTACAAAATTCCAGATCACATGCAATGACAGAAAAGAAAAACAAGTCAGATGGCTACATTTATTGAGGAGGATTCACAATCTCCGTATATTAATGCCCACGGATAGCACGGATAACATTTATCCCTGAGAAGGGAGCACTGCCAGTTATCTTAGCTAATCACACATTCTCTGTGATTTCAGATGTGAAAATACACATGCCAAATTGACCAGCAGGAATTAGGTTCAGAAAGTCTGAGAAAAAGTCCTTGAAAGTTGTGACTCTAAATATTTAGGCGGAGCTGAGATCAGCATGAAAACTGCTGCTGGGGGACGTGATAGATGAGTTCTTTGCACGAGCCGTTTATTTTTTGACCGTCCTGTGTAGATGCATCTGGGTGGTGAGAATGTACAGCCCCTCTCACTTTGTTGTCGTGAATATTGATGAATGGCTCTCTATTCCTATAAATTCCACCGGTTTAAATGAACATTTAGGCATTTTATTCCTCAGGTCCTGCTTTCTGCCTCCACTGGGTCTGTTCTCTGCTTTCACACTGGAGTGGGCTGCTCGCTGGCGGTGACTAGACCTAAGTCTCCTTTTATTATTACTAAAAGGAGTATTGTGACAAATAGGGAATGAGTCTTTCCAATGCGTTGTCTCCAAAGCCAAATGTTAGCCGCAGATGGGATTTCGTGTATCCGGTGTGGATTCTGCGCTGGTGTGAAAGTGTGGGTGTCGGGGCGCGCCCTGCTGACCCTGTGTTCTGAGGCTTTCCCCTGCTGTCGCGTCGAAGCCCTAATGGTCGGTGTTGCTTTGGTGTTTCCCGCAGGCTGCTGAGTGGGAGTGTGACGAGGCGACCAAGAAGGCGTGCTACAGCAAAGGCAAATCAAAGGTGAGAAGGCGCGGGGAGGCGCGGTCACCACCACTGTGTGTGCAAGGTCTGTGTCCGAAGCTTTCCAATTCCGGGCCTTGCAGAGGGAAAGAAGCCTGGTTCAAAATATGCACCCGGCCACCAGCGCTTCACAATAAGTGAAAATGAACCAGTGATCAAACAGCGTCTCAGAGGATCGGAACCTAAGATCAAATCTAATTTGTGCTTCCAGTCATCAGACTAAGATCTGGAATTAATTGACTGTGATATGACTTGGAAACAACACCGGCATGGCTTTCAAAAGTACTATTTTATCTCATTCTTCCTACTTCCTTGCTAACTATAAAAGTAGCTCTATGATAAGTAAAATTGTTCTATCAAAATAATCTGGCATGTGTTCTTTACACTTTACCTTAGCTTATTCCTTTAATTAGCTTCTTCCTTTCTGATGCTAAAAATCTACATGCCCAAGTTCCCCTAGAAAGAGCCTGTGACAGGGCCGGGGAGCGCCAAGACCTCACAGGCCCATCGTTACACAGCCCATGGCTTGGTCAGGGCCCTCTGCACCTGTCCAGGTGGTCCAGGTGGTCCAGGTGGTCTGCACCGCACGGTCAAGAAATACAGTGCACGCTCACATTCAGTGTATTACAGTGAAAGGCACATTGCCTCAAACCTCCCTCGGATCCTGCCTGGAACACTTCCGGTCATCCTTGACACTCTCTGAAGCAGTTCCGGAGTCCTCTTTTGTGTCTTTAGCCATGACGTCACAGCTGCCTCTGTGTCCTGGATGATCAGAGATGTTTCTCTCTCACGGCCCTTTTGACTTTGAGGAAAAGCCAGAAGTGGCACAGAGCCAGTTTTGGAAAATAAGGAGGACGAGGACACCCTTGTGTTTTGGTTGGACAGAAATCGCTGTAAATGTAAACTACAGACTCTCAGATAGTGGGGAAAAGGACGGGCTGAGTGTGTATGAAGTGAGGGGGACGCTTTGAAGGGGATAAGTGGCGGTGTGTCTTTCACATAATAAATCTTTATACAAATTTAAATGCCCTATTTTTCAGTCAGCCATGCTCTTCTCTACTCCTCGTCCCCTGGCTCTCCTTCCCTCTCTGTGGGGACACCCTGTAGCACGGTGTGTGCGCACCAGTTGCAGTGTCTGTTTCTGAAATGTTTGATCGTTTGTCCCAGACCCGAGTGGCCCGCGCCCTCCGCCCCTCCCTCTCCGCTGCTCCGCGCCTTCCTTGCCTCCTCGCCTCTCACCCTCCGGCTCGGGACACCCACGTCCCAGGAGCTGCTCGTCCTCCTCCAGTCTCATTGTATGCTAATGTATGCTAATCGTCCCGCCCTGCACGGGGGCAGGGAGCCAACGGGATGCTTCTTTGTGGATCCTCAGCGAGCTGACCGAGAGGGCAGACACATGGACCCACAGTGTGACAGTGGACATCACCGTTGCCTGTCCTGCACGCTGCCCAGCAGCTTCCCTAGCCTCTTCCCACCCTGGTACTGCAAACACTCACAGGCAGAACTGGCCCCAGGCATCACCAGACATCGACCTGGCTGGGAATCTATGCTTTAATTTCTAAAATGGTGAAGGCGTAGACAAGTTCTGTGGTGTTCGTTTTGTTTTGTGCCCTTCCTGGGACTGTTTTCATGTATCACATATTTACTTCACAGAGTTTACGGAACTAAAGGTTAATTCCTTTCCCCTCTGAGGACTTCCGTCTCTCTGTTCTACTTGCATATTAAAAAAAAACAAACACCTGATTACTCAATCTAGCCCCGGGTTCCTCTTCCGCATACTGTGTGAATCCCTAGTTTTAGAAGCATCTGTTTGGTTTTCTTTTACTAGTGTACTATTCCTATTTCGAGAGGAAGTTTGTTCCTGCTGAATCAAAACTGGCTCACGTTTTACTTTAGCCCGTGATCATTTTTTGGTCTGGTGTTTAAAAATCAAGCAACTAAAATCCATAAACTAGGAAAAGGCCTTTGTTTCTGCCTCGTGAATAATATACCCTAGAGAGTAATGTACCACTGAAAGGATCAGTTGTCACTACACTGGGCAGAGTTATCCTGGGACAAAGAAAAAAAATGAGGAAAATAAAGGTAAAGGAAGGTCATACATTTATAACTCATATGTTTTTGGTTTTAATGTTAAGAGTAATAAAAACATCTTACAAATAGTAAATTGATTCAAACTGTGTGGGCCACATTTTTTAAGGCTAATACCTAAAGGCAAATGAAGATGAATGTTAGTGCCGTGCACACTGAGAAAGACAGATCGCGTTCTCTTCGAGGTTGCGTTAAGCATGCTGATAAATGCTCCTGGGGTTCTAAGGAGCCCGCAGTCCTGTGAGGTGGAATTCAGTGGGCCTAGGGAACTGTGTGCAGGGGACCGGGCCTGTGCCACATGGAGCAGGGGCTGTGCAGGTGCTGGCCCAGCAGCCCGGCACCTGGTCCTCAGGTGAGAGCAGAGGACTCGTGGCCTCCTGTGCGGGTCCCTTCCTCACTTCTCTCTGGCTGCCTTCAGATGTCACTGATGGTGGCCAGCAGGTGAGGCCCCAAAGCCCAGCTTCCCAGGTCACATGAAAAGGGGAGACCATGCCAAGCACAGCCTCCCCCGGCTGCCCCCAGTGCAGAATTCCAACACCCCGGTTCCCCTGTTCCCACAGTTCTTAGGAGTCAAATGAGATAACATTTCATGCTCAGTTTGAAAGAAATGAAATTTCTCCTTGGAGGAGTAGAATTCAGGCTTTCTTAGTGGTCATGAGTTTAGAAGTAGAATTCAACTATTATATTTCCACTTGTGCCGCAGCGTTCTGAGAACTTACACAGAATTACAAGGTTTCAATTCTCTCAAAGAATAATGCAAAATGTGACATCTCAGAAATGAGAAAAATCCCAGCCACTTTAACTGAACTCCTTTTTGCTGTGCTTCTAAAAACATGGCCTGTGCTGTGCTGCATAATGCATTTTCCTAAATGCCATGCGTGGACGGATGGGCCAAGCTGCACCCACTTTCTGCTCCCATGGAAGCATTCCTGCACTGGCTGGCAGAGCCCAGGACATCTTTCCTTTAGTTTCCAGGCATTGCTGGGGCTGGGTACCGGCATTACTTCAAGGACAGCACATTAAATTTACAACTGAAGCCAGGCTCAAAAGAATGCAGGTACTGGGTGTGGTGGCACACACCTGTAATCCCAGCCCCTAGAGAGGCTGAGGCAGGAGGCTCCCCAGTTTCAGACCAGACTAGGCAATTTGGTGAGATCCTATCTCAAAATAAAATTTGATAAAAGGCTGCAGGTGCAGCTGTGTTCCCTTGGTTCAATCTCCAGAACGCAAAAGAAACAAGAAAAGGGGCACAGTGTGTGTGTGTGTGTGTGTGTGTGTGTGTGTGTGTGTGTGTGTGTGTGTGAGTGTGTGTATTAAATGCTGTGACTGTCAATTCCTGGCAAGGTTGGAATTCTCAATCGCTGATGAAAGTAACTTCCCATGTACTGAAGGGAGAAGAATCCATTTGTATGGATTCAAAATTCTGGACAGTTGTATGTAAGTCCTTTGGAAATAGCAAGATAGAAATTATAAAAAACTGTGGAACTAGTTAAATACATTTCACACAAATATTATTTTAAAGACAAATGCTCCCTTGTCTGGATGCCTCACAAGCGTCACTTGTCTGCCCAGGGCTCTTCTGTCTGGGCTGCAGCCCCTCCCACCAGGACAATTAGAAACCCAACCGAGGAAGCACACTGCTTATTAAAGGGAATGAAAGAGCTGCTTCTAGTTCATCTTACACTTCGTAATTTTCAAAAGGCCCTTGTTCATGATCTCATTTTAGGGTTTCTGACACTAAGTTCCTAGAATTGTTCTGCGAGTTAGTGGGAGAGTTTTGATGAGAATCCAGGGCTCTGTGTACTCTTCTTCCCCTGTGTCCCATGGCCCTCCTGCCCATGTTGTCCATCTGTGCTAGTGAAGAGATGAACTCTCAGGAAGAAAGGAAACCAGACAGCTTCTTAGGGCCATTCGGGGAGTGCCCGGTCCTGACCTTTGCACCTGAAATGTCAGTGGTTGAAAACTGTGAGTTAGTTGGGGCCTTGGACACCCCATAAATGGATCTTTATCCTATACAATTGCTTTAAATATTGAGACTCCAGTGGGCCGTGGATTTAGCTCAGTGGTTCTACCGGCTGCCTCGCAAGGTTAGAGTGCTGAGTTCAATCCCTGGTACCAAAAACAAAACAAAACAAAAAATAATTGAGGCTGGATACTAACATCCTGTGCAGATTTACACACCTTAATTTTTTCTAATGAAGTGCTCAAATTTTATCATGAGGTAAGGTTGATTGAAAATAGTATGTAAATAAATATAACATGCTTAATGTATAATTTCACTATATGTTACATAGCATATAACATACAATTATATAAAAGTGTGTCCTCCCACAGTCTGTTTCTCAATTTATCCCGAAGTTTCTCCTGCACAGTTCAGCCAGCTGTGGGTCATGTACCTTGTACTTAGCCCCACTGTCTTAGTTACTTTTCTCTCTTTGCTGAGACAAAACACCCAGCACCCAAAGTTAGAGGGGAAGGGATTTATTTAGCTCACAGTTTGAAACAGTTTTAGTCCATAATAGGCTGGCTCCAAGGCAAGGTGGCTTGGCAGAGGAGCATTGCAGAAAAGTCCATGGTAAGCAGAGAACAGCAAAAGCAAGCAAGCAAGGGGCCTTAGCAGCATCTTTCTGCCCTTTTATCTTATCCAGGCTACTTAGGGAAGGCAACACTCACACCCTTAATCTTATGCCTTAGCCTAGCATTGCACCATGAATCAATCCCAGCATCACACTCTCTAGATTGAGCCACCTCTGAAAAGCAGAATAGACCTGTTTGGGGTAGGGGTGGGGAATGAAAGGCTAAAGGAAAACCAGTTTATTCTTTAAGAAAAGGGCCCTAAAACATACACTGACTTTCCTGGGGCTGGCACTGGGGCCTTGTGTCCTTGGCCCTCACATGGGCCTTGCCTGACCCCCTCAGCTCCTCCTGTGAGGCCGGGACCATGCCTCTCTGCTATCAACTCAGATAGACTCTGTCTGGACATCAAGGACAGGCTGACTTGAGGTCACAGGCACACGTGGGTCACTGTAATGTTCCAATGCTGTTATCAAAACCTAGATAGATGACTCTCATTACCAACTGCAGAAGTCTTGGGCAGCAGGCCACTGGGCCTTGAAGATGTGCATGGTGACTTCCTGGAGGACCAGAATTCACCAGGTCTACTTCCTACAGTTTGAAGGGATAGAAATGGAACCGAAGGAAAAAATGTTAGATGAGGATGGAATGGAAAAAAAGTTTTTTTTTTCACTGTAATGTTCCAATGCTGTTATCAAAACCTAGATAGATGACTCTCATTACCAACTGCAGAAGTCTTGGGCAGCAGGCCACTGGGCCTTGAAGATGTGCATGGTGACTTCCTGGAGGACCAGAATTCACCAGGTCTACTTCCTACAGTTTGAAGGGATAGAAATGGAACCGAAGGAAAAAATGTTAGATGAGGAAAGGAAAACCACAGATATTTAATTATGCTGATTTATAAGGGAAACCTTTAGAGGAATCCCCTAAGGACTTCCCTAGAGATTGGGCCTATATTATAGGTGATTCTAAGCAATACTTCAAGCAAGTTCAGACAAGCAAAGAAAAGGCTGAGTTTGTAGCAGGAATGAACAAAACAATTTTCCGGGTGATTTTCTGCAGGAGAATTGTAGTCTTAGAATCACCATCAAAAGGAGATTAATTATTACACAAGTCTGGCACTCTATGCCATTTACTTTCTTAATTTTGACTCTTGAAAAGCTAAGTATCGCCATTTCCTTCATTTTCAGCTTTGCATTCTGTTTGGCTTGAATTAATCTCTCTTTAAAACAAGTTGGTTATTATTTAAGTGTTATTTGTGTAGGATTCACATCCAGTCTTCTTCCCGCGCCAGGGAAGCAGACTGTGAGTTAAACCAAGGGAACTTTCCAGCGAGTCAGCCTGGGAAGTCCGTGCCGAGCCCACCTTGGCTTGGCCTCACGGGAGACCCTGCACCTCCTCCTCGTGCCCCTCCACCCGTCTCCCGCTGGACCTCCTGGTGCCCAAGCTCTGCTGGAACATGGCCCTCTACTCTCACGGGGTTCCATTCCTCACGAGCTCCTCTGGGCTGAATCCACCCCCATCCTTTCCGAAGGCCTGCGCTGGCCTCCTTGTCTGGCTGCCCTGCTTTGCTCTATTTCCTCCTTTCTTAACACTCACCGCGAGGAAGTAATTGGGGGAAGCAGCTGAGTGGATTCCCATGATGTCCTCATTATTAGAGCAAACTCCTTCATCCTCTTCCGTGTCCTCTCTCATTTCCCGCTTTCTCTGATTGTTGTAAACTACCGGTTTCCTTCGCCCTCCCTCTCCCGTATGCTCACTTTTCACCCTGGTTCCCACACAACCCAGACACCCTCTGCTTCTCCGTCAGGCTTCGATGGCCCTCGGGACTGTTCCTAACTATGGTCTCATCTGTGCTGTGTTCTTCTTTTGGGAGATTAAGACAAACACCCGTAGGTGCTCTTGATCCCAGCCCCCTGCAATTGACTAGCGGCTCTCGCTGTCTCTTCTCCAGGTCTGTAGAACTCAGCTTTGGTCCTATCTTTTCAATCCGGATGATTCTTTTAGAATATTTTACCCTTGACCATGTTGTTCATGGTTAAGTGACTGCATCTGGCACATTTATACCTGTGGCAGGCACTAGCTAAAAAAAAAAAGAGTCCTTGAACATTTTGTCCTGTTTTTGAAAAAGTTCTAAACACAGGAACGGAAATCAAACTGAACCTCTACCCTTCTGCACTGGTTGTGATTTTCCACCCGGATTTTGTTACACTGTTGTTGTCCTGTCGGAGTCTACGGCTGAGGCCATGGATCTCACTCGGTCCTGTTCCTGCAGAGCACTTTCATGGATCCCGTTCTAGTCCTCACTTTGACCCGGAGCTTGCAGATCTCTGGATCGCTCTGCCCTCCGAGGTGGGGCTCTGCTCTCCTAGGTCTCAGCCTGGGAAGGGGTAGATGCTGCTCCCTGGAAGCGTTTTGTTTCATTCTTTTCCTTTGGAACTCATCTGAGTTATAAAAACACCACTGAACAGAACAAAACAAAACAGAGCAGGCTTCCTTCTGCCGTGGTTCCTTCCTCAGTTACCCAGTTTACTGTCACTGGTTATAGTTATTTCTTAACTCTTCTGGTAATTAACTCAGAGCATTCTGCGTATTTTCTCCCTCACCTTAGCAGCCAACAGTGACTTGTTGCTGTTGTGGTTAGTGATGCTTTTAGGAGATGTATCTGCCTTTGATATTCCATTTCTCATTTAGGAAGCAATTCCTCATATCTGAGCACTGGGCATCATTAGAGCCAGGCTGTGCAGCAGCCTTGGTGGTGCCCGTGAACTTAGCTTTGCCGGTAAGATCGGGGTTCTCCAAGTTCAAGAGAGGGCCGCCATGCCATGAAAGCCAGATTGTCCGAATTTCCTGCTCAGTGTGTTTCAAATGATCCTAACACGTCTGGGCCTTGCTGGGTCCACCCAGCAGGTCCTGTCAGTTTACCAGGTGGTCGCTCTGTCTTTGCACGCCTGACTTTCCCTCTGGCACAAGGAATAGGAAGTATGGAGGAGGCCTCCCTGTCTGCCTCCCACATCCAGTTTATCCTCCACAATCTCTCTTCCATGCTGTTAATGACAAATGTGAGATAGACTGAAAACTTTGTGCAGTGAGGACAGTGATTGGTTCCTTCCCGACCCACTGAGACCCCGGTGCACACCCGCTGCCTGGCCTCCCCAGCGTATGCCTCCCCTCTTCCGTGCTCAGTGAAGGGCACCATGTCTCTACGGGTCCCTTTCCCGGGCCGGCCATCTTTTCCTCTTCTACTCAGGAGAGTCCTGCACGCAACGAGCAGCTCGAGGAAGCCTCACTAAGTCTCACCCTTAATTAACGTGAATCCGAAGCCTCCAATCGTCTCATTGCCCTCCCTGCTCCTTCACTTCCGTTTTCCTTCAGAACCAGGTAGTAAGTCCTTGCTCCATGCTTCCTCACCAGGCGTGTGGATCCAGCCATAGTCAATGCCATGATGCTATGTTTTCATTTTTCTGCCTGAATTGCGACTTCTAGCACTCTGCCCACCAAAGAATAGCCGGCCATAGTGCTGTAGCATGCAGAGCTTTCTAACGTAGCTTGTACCGCGCCACTCCAATGGCCCCATCTCCGCTCTTCTTTAGCTGTGCCATCTCTCAGTGCGGTCTTTGTCCCGGAAAACCTTTCCTTATGTTCGTCCTCATAGTTTCACTTTTCAATCCTCTGTTCGAATTACCTGTAGATACTGTCTATGTACCTCGTGCAGTGTGAGCCCTTAGAAATGAATTCCGGTTTGTAGACAATTTCACATGATGCTCTCAGCAGAGAAGCATTTGCAGCATTTTCGTGAAGCACTGTTTCGCGCGCGGCATCTAATTTGTTCATGTTATTTATTTTCCTAATACATGTCCAAGAAAATTTAAAGTTTGTCCTGTAATTCAAAATGAACTCATGTTCCAAGAAGGCATATGGTTTGAGAATTTGTCTGAGTGCCGAATGTGAGGCTTGCTATATAAATATGCTTTACGAAGCAAGTGTGTAGCTACAGAAAGTCAGATGAACGTGATTAACAGTTCCATTACTATTTGTTGGCGAACACGTGAAAGGCTTAATTATTTATTTTTTATTAACTATACAAAACGTACTGCCTCTTGTCGCCATGCCTCTTGTCTCAGGCTCGTTAACCTGTTTCTTGTGATTTGATTTGATTTTTTTGCAGGAGGAGTGTCAGAACTACATCCGGGTGCTTTTGGTTGGCGGCGACCGGTTATTCACCTGCGGAACCCACGCGTTCACCCCTGTGTGCACCAACCGCTCGGTACAGCTGCGTCTGGCGCTCGGGAGCCAAACATACCATTGAAGCCCTAGTTTTAAATGCATCTCTGGATGTCGTGGAGTTCTCTTATATTGAAAACAGCTTTTATAAAACTGGATAAATATTTGATTTATTAATTTATGTCTAATCATTTATATAAGGACCTGGAAATAATTATAGCTTCCACAATCAGATTTAAATGTTTCCAAACTATTTCAGTCCGCATTTTCCGCCAGAAACCCAGGCATTATTCATAAACATGTTACATTCTCTCACTGTGCTTTATGGTAGATTTATTGTTAAGTATTAAGATGGTACAAAAACACAGTCCAGCAAAAGAACTGCAGCCTACAGATTGGACAGAAGCCTGTCAAAGGATACACCAAAGGAAACACAGCGATAAACAAAGCGAAGCTATAGAGGGACCTCTTCTCTAACCCATCCGTAGACAGCGAGATTTCAGCACTCACACCCTACTGCAGGATCACGCCAGGGTCATCAAGCTCCTGTCTAATCTTCCTAATTCAGGATATTAAATTAATCTAATCTGTCTTGGGGACTACAGTGGGGAGATACCATTATGTTAACTTCGCAGTAGTACAACTTCGCTTCTCAATTTAATTTGTCACCTGTTGCTACTGCTCCTTACTTTCAGGTTAATGCTCAGTGACCGGAAGTAAGGGAGGGCTAAGGGAGAGGGAAGGGAGGGTCACACCCTGCTCTTAGGGCTCAGCACCTGTGCAGCCGCTCAGCCCTGCCAAACCCCTTGAGCTCCATTCTCTCCGGGACCCTTCTGAGATAGAAGAAGAACTGGAGAGGCAAGGAGTTTAAGTCACTCCCTGGGCTCCGCCTCCTACTGCCACGTGAAGAGAGGGTCCTCATTGTCCGTCTCACACTTGCAATGCTCCCTCGCTGCTGAGAGTCAGGGGCCAGTTGATTCGTGTGAAGACTCCCCAGTACCCAGGGAGTTTTTCCCATGTGTGAGCAGTTGGGAGCTCAGCATGTAGGAAACTGTCTTCATTCATTGTGACGCCAGGACCCCCCAGTGGCCCCGAGTCTCACCCAGTGTCACAGCCCATGTGTTTGTGATTCCTGGTTGTTTGTTACTGATAAACACACCGCCACACTTGCTAAAGGGAAGCATAATCTTCATTTTCTAAATAAATCCAGTGTAAGCAGCGTATTCCAGTGATGGAGGAGCACTGCATGGCCCTTTCATGTTAGGTGGCTCTCTCACCTACATGTGTGTAATCAGCTGCCCCGCAGTGCCTTTTAACGTGCACACATCGTTACCTGTGGGTTCAGTATTAAAGCTTCTGATTCATTTATGCTGATAAAATTGTACATAATTCTTTATTATGTTTTATATCTCTAAGTTTCGAATTCGAGTTCTTTACTAAAGTGAAAAATAGGCAATTGTCATGCATTATAAATCAAAGCCATATCTAAAATAATCTTGCTTCATCGTTTGTAAGTATTCGATAGCATAAGATTCCTTAAGTATTCAGGGATGGGGCAGACAGCGTGATTGATGGATTCCCCAGCCGTGACCACAACAGGCTGTTTCATACAGTCTGAGTATGAAAGTTTTTCATCTGTTATGGGCCCCAGAGAGTTTACGGCACACACTTCACTTGTGATTGTGGAAGATGCGATCCACTGGGGCCTCCACAGGGGCTTCTCCAAGGATGACCTGTTTCCCTCTCCTTTGGCCTGCAGTTAAGCAACCTGACTGAGGTCCACGATCAGATCAGCGGCATGGCCCGCTGTCCTTACAGTCCCCAGCACAACTCCACAGCCCTGCTCACGGCCGGCGGTGAGCTCTACGCTGCCACAGCCATGGACTTTCCGGGGCGCGATCCTGCCATTTACAGAAGTCTGGGGGTTTTACCCCCACTCCGCACTGCGCAGTACAACTCCAAGTGGCTCAATGGTAAGCCCTGTGGTCATACCTGGTGTCTCGGCTCATGTGTGTGTCATCTCGTTATTCATGCTAATGCACAGACTGTCACACTTGCTAAAGCAAAACAAACCTTCATTTTCTAAAAATATCAAAGGTAATTGGTTTTTACTGATCGGAACAGCATTGCGTGGCTCTTTCGTGAGAACGTGTGAACCTCCCAACACTATAGACCGTGATAACACAGCTGCTGTTGATATGAACATTCATCACAGTTTTAGTGTTTTTGTTCCTGTATTATTGTTTGAAACCTAGAAAATTTGACGTTGGGTCATAGGTATGTGTGAACTCATGTGCTGGCTTTCTTGGGTATTGTGTATTTTGAAACAGTGCTAGCAGTTCGGGACATTTTCAGACAGCATAAGGAAAAATGTATTTGGCTACAGATAACTCCAATTAACTTGGCAATCAAAAAACTGACCAACTCATGCCCAGCAGTGTGGGCAGGTGCCTGCAGGACGGTTAGTTCAGTGCCTCAGAGCTGACACAGGTCCGAATCTGGTCTCTTCAGTCTGTGGTGTCCACCACCTGTCAAACTGATCCTCAGGTGGCTGTGCTCAGCTCACAGGCACAGAATCCCTGCTGGAGCTTTGGCATTGTGTTCAGATGTTGCAGTATCCTCAGAAAAATAGCACCACACCGCTCATGTCCACTTCTGGGAGGAATCCAGGTGCGGCTCCATCTGGGACAACTTCGTGCATCCCTGTGGAAGTAGATGGTGTCCTTCCATTCCGGGATAGAACCTGATCACCTGCTGTTGAAGGAACCACACGGGAGCCACCCATCCATGTGAGGCTGGCTGTGTACAAGGTCCTGATGTGTGCTGTGTACACATGAGTGTATGGGTGTGGCCACGCACACAAATTCACCCTCACAAAGGCAGCAGCTGTGCACGATGTGACGTCCACTACCCCAGCATTTATTTCTTGGTTTACATAAGGTACAGTCGCAGTTTGCCATTATATTTATTGATTTGATAGTTCAAGATCTGTAAAGATTTCTATATGATCTATAAAGAGTGTCTCACCTTCAGTGATACTGATGGGGAGAAAGGGGCTGATTGTGACTGATTCCGGGAGAAGCACTGTCCACTCCTCAGCAGGTCCAGCAGCATCCCTGACCTGCACCCACAAGAAGCTGGTAACACCAGTTGTAAAGAGAAGTTCCATACATTTTGAAATAACACCCAAGGGGAAAATTGCCCTTAGTTGAGCGCTATTGGTTTTGACTTAGTCCTTCTGCATGCTTATCTTCCTGTGTATACTTACAGAACACTTACTTTTGCCAGACAGTACAACCAGCCTAAGCACCGCAGTGTGCCTTCAGGAGACCCTCCTGTAGGAAACGGTGTCCTCTGCAGAAGGAGGCAGAGTGACTGCTGCTCTAAAGGGAAGCACGAACGGAGTCCCAAGTGAAGCAGCAGCTTGATTCTCCCGTTAGTGTCCGTTTCGTTGAAGTCATTTCAGCTGAACCTGTGGACTCTACGGATGACCCCCTTTCGGTGGCAGAGCTTTTGTCTGTGTGGCTCAAAGTTGTTCTGTTTATTGCTGATCTTTGCTGGCCAGACAAAGTGTCCAGTTGGGGGAAAAAGGACCTCAGCACCACTACAGCTAAAGGCTTTGTAATTAGTTTCCAAAAGCAAAATGAAGCAAAATCATGGGCACAGTCTGTTTCTTTTCTCAAAAGTGATACATTAAGAATATCCTAGCAAAATAATCCAGGCCATAAAAATAGTTAGAAATACTGGCTGTTTTCTTACATGGGTCTCAGAGACTCCCAGGCTGGCTGGTCCACGATGAGACTCTGCAAGCCCACTGGGTAGAATCCATGTCTTCTGGGGCCAACTGATATCCACAGGCAGTGGAATAACCTACTCAATGCTTAACTTGCCTGTGGTGAGCATAATGATGTTATTTTACTTTCTACTATGGGCTGTTGTTCATTTACGGCATGTGGTACAACTGTAGAAATTGAAAATAATTTCAGAGTAAGTGTGGTGGGCCTACACTCAAGCCATTGGCTTAGCACAGCTTGCGTTATGCTGAACAGCCTATATTTCTCAGAAAATCAAGCTTAGCCCTGCCATCCTTGGCCTGCATTGGGAGACCTTCACATCCAGGAGGTGGAAAACCCACCCAGAGGACTCCAGGATCTGGCCTGGGAGGGCATCTTGATCCTCTCACCTGTGTTTGTCAGGATACTTCTTGCTTTTACTGAAGCCCATGATGCCATTTCTTCTGCTGCTGGCCCCAGTGTCTTCTGTAATTCACCCTCCATGCAAGATGGATACTAACCTCTGGCCACTTAAACATACAGTTTTTGGGGTATACATTTCAGCTGCAACAGGCTTTCTGATTCAGCTGCTCATGATCTGTCCCCCTGCACATCTCAGACAGTTGCTTTTCTCACTTCCCAGATGGACTGGACCCCAATAGCCTGGCCTGCAGATGTGAGTTTTTCCCAGTTACTCTGCTCTTCTCTGAAATGCAGCATAAGCCCCTCTCAGACCCATTCTCCATGGAGGAACCAGGGTCATCTTTCAAATTTGTAATCCAGGGCACTTCAGTTTCAGCCCTTTTAATATGTTCCTTTTATTGGGAAAAGAGAATTCATTCCTTCGGTGGCTCTTTCTGGCCCTGGATAGCTTCTTCATGCCCTCTTTGCCATTTCTCCTTTCCTTCCTGCACCTGTCCATCACTCAGTCGAGCTACTCCTCACGGTCCTCCCACAGTCCAGATCCTCTCCTACTCTGGCCCATTGAGCAAGTTGTCCCTTCCCACAGATCCTCTTCCCTGCATTCTGGGCCCTTCTTCTGTCTGTCTGCCAGCTTATGTGCAAGCCCTCCTGGAATCTCCTCTGGACATCTGACAGAGGAGCTTCCCAGGTAACCGTCCCAGCACCCTCCAAATGTGCTTTCCAACATCACCCTTTTGAATATTTTTTTTGTCTCTGGAAAGCTAGAACTATGCCAGATGTGGCCATTTACCATTATATTTCAACTTTACTGGCTTCAGAAATACCCAGTGAATTTCTAAAGCACACCTCTGTGTGTGTGGGGGCATATGGAGACTTGACCTTGGGCACTATTTATGGCCCCCTGTTCCTTTCTTTCTGGCACTGTTCCCCTGCGCTGCCACGACCTAAGCAGCTTTATTATATCAGGCCCTTCTGCCATAATGTTTCTATTTTGGGAGCAGCTGACTGTAGACTGGATCCTCTGAAATCATGAGTCAAATCAACCACTACTTCCATTAAGTTGTGGGTAATTGGCTGTTTGTTTCCAATGGTGGAAAAGTGCACTAATATAAGACATTGTTACCAGAGAAGTCAGGTCATTTCTGTGATTTTACTTGACCAGCAGTGTAGGAGCATTTGGACCAGGTTTGGAGGAATTTGGAAATGTTTGAGGATTTAGATTGCAGAGGCTCTGGAGTGCTGTAAGCAAAGCTTAATAGATGACTCTGGTGGGAGCTCAGAAGATCAGAATGCTAGTAAGAATGCAGACAGTAAAGCAGGCTCAGTGGTCTCAGCTGGGAGCAAGGTCCTCACTAGAGCCGTGTGTGTTACACGCTGGCAAAAGAAACATACAAACAAGCAAAACTGTCTACATTTTGCCCACTTCCTGAGACTGAGAGACTGAGATTAAGGACAGTGAACTAACTGATCTAGCAATGGAAATTTCAAGGCAGTTCAGGATATAGTATGTATACTGCTGGCTGCTTTCAGCTAGATTTATAGTGAGAACTAAGACAAAAAGCCTAGCAGAAAAATATGAAAAACTTGGAATTATGTGACTGTTTAAACAAATATTTATAACCAGAAGTTTGTCTTGAGTCTCAGAAGGACTTGGACTTTTGAAAAGCCCTGGAACTTTTGAGACTTTAGGGAAGGAATTGGTGCACTTCTAGGTTGTGTGCAAGATAGCTGTATCATGCTAGGCAGGATTATGAACTTACTATTATCTTTATTGAAAGACGTAGTGTGCTTTAAGGAGAAACATCTCATTGTCAAGTTCTCAATGGTGGACCGTGACAGATAATGATTGTGTGTCAGCTTCACTGGATTAAGAAACGTTCTGGGGTTTAGTGAAGTGCACATCTGCCTGTGTCTGTGTAAGTCATGCAGTTATAGTACTCCTTGAGTACTATGCATGATTACTGGCTCATTCCTCTTTGGCACTAGGGTCCTCTGCTCTGCATTCTGAATGCCATGAACTAAGCAGCTTCATTATGCCACATCCTTCTTCCACGCCGTCGCTCTTTTGGTGCCAGCCAGCCATGGACTAAATCCTCTGAATCTGTCAGCCAAACTAAACTTCTCTAAAATTTGTGAGTGTCAGGCATTTGGTCCCAGCAATTGGAAAACTGACTAATACTTCAGATTGAATTAGTCTTGTTCATTGCTTGGACAGTGCTCACCAATATTTACTTATTTAATAAGTGAATGCTTAAAAGAGTGAATAAAGTGTCACTTTTCCTACTTTTGCAGGTTCCTTGCTAGGTTTGACCAGATGGGTTTTTCTGAATACTTACGACCTTGTCATACGTCTCCTAGCCTTTACAGAGCAGCCCACTGGGTATGAAAGTGTGACAGCCGCAGGTCTTGTTGTTTAGTGTGAATGAGAGCAGTGGGTCAGCGTACAAGTGGGAATTCGGGGGACTCTGATAAACAGCGTTGGCTGAGCAGTGCCAGAACGTGTGGCCAAACCCTGTGATTTCTTTAAATCAGTCATACATTTGGCTTTTCCTGTAAAATCTCTGCTGTTATAATGCTGACAGCTAACCATTCTTAATGATGATGTTAACCAACATAGTAGAGATGGTGAAATGCTCATTTTTTGAGGTGAATTCAGCCAGGCTGCAGATTTTCAGGGTGAAATCTGAGCTTCTTCACCAAATCAGCTGCTGTCAGATCTGGACCTTCCTTTTATACCCCAGCCTCACTCTCTGCCTTTCATCTTCATCTTGGGCCTG